AAAAGTAAGATTTTCTAGTTATACAAACTTGAAATATTTTAATACCTCCAGAACTAGCATATAGGAAATAACAAAGAGCATAATTCAAAAGGCAAGAGAAGTTGCAGTATGCTCCTGGATGAACAATAAAGAACTCTCAATATGATAGTTATGCAGGAGTGCTTTTTCTGAAAGACAAACCTGATTATTCTACTCTTCTATAAAATCCCTTGAGAAGCCCTCAGTACAGAGTAACACCCAAGGGTTCTGGCCTCTGGCTACCCTACTGGAACAACTTCACACACCTAAATTGTAGCTCCTTGCTGGTCACCTGCCACGCTGTTCCAGGCACCTGTGTAGAGACTCGGCCAGCTCCCACTTCTGATAACATGCTTCCCGCAGGGTCCCCATTCCCACCACAGCCAGTCACTTCTCGCCCAGTCCATAGGTGTAAAAACTGACCCAAGTAAATTCCACTGCAGTACTTGCTAGGTGCTGCGATTACTTTTCCCTGTGTCCTTCAACTAGTGCTAGCTCATCATGGGAAGTTAATATGCATTGACTAATAATGCTTCTTAAACACGAACTTCATAAGGCTTTTCATTTAAGTTTTCACAAGCAGGAAAACAGCATAATGGTTAAAAAAAAAAAAGAAAGAAAAGAAAAGAAAAGAGAAAAAAAAAACTCATAGGAAGGATGACTCCCTGTAGAAAAAAAAAAAGTAAACATTTGCTCGTTATTATTTCAAATAAGTTTTCAATGCTTTTAGGGTCATTCTTGGTAACCTTTGTGGGTTTTATTGCATTTCCATTTTCTCTTTAGCGTCAACCTTGATTTGCCGTAAAACTACAGCTGTTAAGCCCATTATATGCATACTCAGCAGTAAAACTCCATTTCATTGGGACCTTTAGGTTTAAAAAAAAAAAAACACTTTTTTTTAGTTGGAAGATGCTAGCCTCGTCTTTACTATACCATGCTCTCTCTGTTCATAGCCTAGTCTTTAAGCACTTACGAGGTATCCACCGATATTAGCAGCTCAGTAACCGGACCTCTTTGAGGCGGACAGGAGCACCCCTGAAGAAAGACTAAAAGAGGAAAGCCGCAGGACCAGCTCCGAGCCGGCCGTGGGGGCCCGGCTGCTCCGCGGCGCTGGAGAAGCAGCAGAGCCGCGGCCAGGCCTGGCACTCACCTGACCGGGTGCCGGTACTGGGCAGGCTTTCCTGGGGCTGCGGTCATTCCAAGGCCGCTGGGCATCTGGGTACGAAAGAGACGAATCGCCGTTACGCACGTGTCCTTCGACGAAATCGGAAACGCTAGGGACGTGACCCGGCCCCGCAGCAGCCGGACCTCCGCCCGATCACCAGCGCGCCAGATGCAGGGGCGGGCGTGGCGCGCCGCCGCCCGCCGACCCCGGCTGAGCTCCCGCCTCCGCCCGAGCCGCGCCCGCCGCTGCGCTCACCGCCTCCGCCTCCGCCTCCGCCGCCTCCGCAGGACGTCGCCGCGCCCCGGGCTCCAGCTCACCGCGCGCCTCCCACGGCCTCCAGAAGCCTGCGGATCTGCGGGATGGGGACACAAGGGTGCAGGGAGACCTGAACCCGGCCGGGAGGCTCCACCTAAGCCCGGCGCGGGGAGAGGGGCTGAGGGGGAGGGGCGGCCCGGCGCTGGGAGGGGCTGCGAGGGCCCCGAGCTGTACCCTGAGCCTGCTGCCGGGGCTGGGGCCGGGCGGTCGGGGGTCGGGGGCGGCCGGGGGCGGTGCTCGCAGGCCGGGCGCTCGCAGGCCCGGCTCCCCGCAGCTTCCATGGCTCGGCGCGGTTCCGCAGAGGCCGGCGGCCAGCTTGCGTTCTGCCATCAGGCCTGAATCCCGGGCTTTATAGAGCCTTGCGGCTCCAGCACGTTGAGGTTCTCACCCTCTCCGCCCCTCCATCCTCGAATAAACAAAAAGGCTGCGCGTGAAGGCGCTCCGGGCTGAACCCCGGCAGCGAACGCGTGCAACGCCCAAATGGCACTGGGAGGACTTTTGTCGAGTGAGTGTTAACCGCCCTTCCACACCTGGCTGCGGCGAAAAACAACATTCGCCCGAGCAGCCAATTGTCATGTGAACAGGTTAGGAGGGGACAAAATTAGGCGACTCTACACATTTTGTGTATTTCTGCAAAAAGGCCAGGAGGCTGGTGATTGCTTGACTCCCTCCCTCATCGCAGGGCGTTTGGTCCTCGGGCGAACGCAGCTGGTTCTGCCTCCCGCGTGCTCAACGCTGGGTGTGGACTGAAAGCAATAGGAAAGGACTGAATTCCTCTCTCTGGACAATATTTGAATACTGGATGAATCCATGAACTCCTTAAGAAAGAAATGTTGGGTTTTTGAAATGTATTGCTGAGCGAGGCTCACACATACACCTATTACTATTTGAGGATAATGGAAAAATATCAGCAACAAGAGATGAATTAGAAGACTGAATGCTCCAGCCAGCGGGGACAGTCATAGCGCCATATATCTTCTCATAGCTGTGGGAGTCCTCAAATCTTGTCGATAGACCCATAAGTCATAAATTTCATCTATACACTTCTGTCACTTACTCAAAGATAATTTGAAATTCTTTGGGGGTGTATGCAATAATGAAATCTTGGGAAGTTGTATGAAACACGTTATTCTTTCTTGCTCCTATTTTCTTGAGTTAACCCCGCACTTAGCTATAAAGCCCCTTTTTTACTTGGTAACAATGTTATGCTTCAAATGAAATATGTATGTTATACTTTTCCAATAATGAAGCTAAATAATGGAACTGAACTTGCCCTTAAAAGCTATAGGTGAAAAACCTTAAATGTCAGTTATATATAGTGGCTCTGCTATAGACTCACTTATATACTTCATAAGAAAATAACACATTCATGGCTGGGGGAGACAGCTTTGTGGTCTAAGTGCCTGCCTGGCAAGTGCAAGGATCCGAGTTCAATCCCTGGTACCACATGCCATGCTGGTCCGGAAAAAGGTGTGGTGGCACATGCCTGTAATCCCAGCACTGGGGAGACTGAGACAGGAAGATCACTCTGAGTCTGCATAGCAAAACCCCATACCAATTAATTAAAAGGTTTTTTTTAAGAGAAAAGAAAATAATACATAATAATCCATTCAGTTACTACCTAAGAGTCTAGAATGATCCATCTGCCAAAAGGACGCAGTCTGATTTTCTCAGGATAATGCAGTCAAGGATGGTTAGATACCTTGTGCATGTCTCAATGACTGAGGGTTATTAGACTTAGTAAAGCGAAGCTCACTGAATGCTTCCTGTGCACCTGACATATAGTTAACCCTCAATAATTTTAAGCTATGTTAAAAATACACAGATGTTAGGTTGTCTGATAAAATGCCTTATTTCAATTCCATAACATTTTTTTCCATAACATTTTTTATGTGTTTGTAATATGACTAAGTACTATGCTTTCAAGACATGGTGATAGATAAGGTATCCCCCATCCTCAAGAAGATTGTAATCATTAGCAACTCTGGCCATAACAATCACCCTAGAAACAAAAAAAAATTATAGAAAGGACACATACAGCAATAAAAATATATCTTAGGCAGAGAAGTGACATAGTGATAGACTTAAGACTTTTGGGGATGATTTCCTTAGAATAAATGAAGCCTAAGCTTAGAAGGATCAGTCAAAGAGTATTATAATCTCTATATGTATGTGATACAGAAGCAGAAAAATAGAAACAAGGTATTGCTGAATCAGCGATATGGCTAAAGAGTTAGAAAGCCTGGCACGCCGTGCTAAGATATTTTGACTTTATTTTATAAACAATGGGGAAACATAGGAGAGCGGGATGGTCCAAGTCTGCGTCTTGTAAAAATAACCCTGGAAGCCACATGGAAGATGGAGTTAGGAAAGTCTGGTATTGGCGAAAAGTAAAACATCATAAAGATCACTGTAATTCTCTGGGCAAGATGCAACAAAATGTAGACTCAGACTGGATAAAGAGGGTAGATTTGAGAGATTCTTAGAAAATAAGCATCTAAAAACCTTCCTGAGTCATAAGACGCATGGGAACATGCAAGAGGAGCTGAGATGTGCTCCCAAGTTTCTGTCTTGGTTAAGTGAATAGATAGTGATGGCTGAGGCAAAGACAGAGAGGGAATATAGGAGAAAGAGCAGGTGAGGTACTTCCATGGGTTTTATTCTGATGATAGGGCACATGAAAAAATAATAAATTTGGTTTGGATCTTCAACCCGGTCAGGACCTATATGGCATGAAGAAATAATTCTAAAATTATACAGGTTTAAAATGACAAAGATTCATCTCTCACTTGTGTTATACATGTACAGTTTTGGTTAGTGGAACAATAGCTCCAGATCATGTTCGCTTAAAGATGTAAGTTCTTGGGGCCTTTCTGGAATATTGCCAATTAGCAGAAGAAAGGAATACATTTTATGTCTATTTCCAAAAGTTTCTGCCTAAACTGACATATTTCACTGGCCAAAACAAGTCTCATGACAGACCCAATGTCAAAGAAGCAGGAAAATACATGTCTGTATATTCCTCCAAAGAGGAGAAACAGAAATAAGCCACATATGAGGTCCTGTAATCTTACTTATTAGTTACAGAGTGAATACTCAAGTTTCTTTCCTTCTGCATGTGGTCACTCCACGGAAAGGAACCCAGAAGAGACCTAATAGATTTCAGAGGCTTAGTAACACGTAGACAGGTACCAACTGATTTGTGATCCTACTGCCCCAGCCTGCCTATTGCTGGGATTACAGGTATGCATCACCACACCCGACTATGGCTATATTGCTAAAAACTGGATATGAGCACATATATTACCCAGAAAACAATAATCAACTTTTTTTTTGTTACAGGGTCTAACTCTGTAGTTCATACTCATAGTGATCCTGCTGTCTCAGCTCTGCTGGTGCTGGGATAACAGGCCTGCACCACCATACCCAGAGTTCTGGGGTGGCACGGCATGCAGTACCAGGGATCAAACGCAGGACTTGGTGATTGCCAGGCAGGTGCTTAGTCAGCCGAGCTATCTCCCCCGCCAACAATTTTTAAAAATGAGAGCTGGAACTAGGTTTCCATTTTGGATGTGACACGGTACTTCTCAACCCTTTCTGATGGACAAGATGACCTCAGCTGGGGTATGACTTATTTTTAGGAACCAAGATGAAAAACAGAAGCGTGAAAGAGTGCAGGGAGTAGAATGACTCACAGCTGCTGGCGCCACCGTGTGCCCCTGATAATGCTGGTTTTCTCATAACAAGAGCAAAGTCCCTAATTTCAGTGGGTTGGCTCTGAGGAGGTTCCCCAGGATGCAACACGGAAATTTAACCCACCCTTTTGTCAAGTAAGTGCACAGGTTTGTTGACTCCCATGGCAGAAAAAAAAAAAAAAAAAA